AGGGAGAAGCCAGTAGCAAGAGGGGGTAACACTGTCATCCTTTATGTGGCTGGTTTATCAGAGAAGCTGAAAAGGATTTCCTCAACCAAGAGATCCAGCCAACTGTACATTGGTGAAACTAAGCAGCCGCTGCACAAATGCATGGCCCAACACAGGAGGGCCAACTCCAGTGGACCAGAGTCAGCAGAGAGAGGAGTCAAGGAAGCTATTTTGGTCCGAATAGAACACCCCTCTCTAAATAGGGGTGGTGGACTAAGGCACAACTTGTTATCTATCTACAACTCTGTTTTGAGATCTCTACCCAAACATTTCCACCCCAATTCACACCAGGACAATAGGCGTCGGTCCACATGTGAGGGTTCAAAGACAGGTAACGACTCTCACTGATACCAGACCCTAACAACTCAGTCGTTAGAGGACTTTGTTGGCCACCAAAAGACTGAAACACCACCCAGTGGGATAAATACCTCCTGCTCACCACCATTCAGGCAGAACCAATGAAGCCTCTTGGATGAGAGGTGAAACATCTTTACATAAAACTATGTCCTTCTAAGTTGTTTTCATCATCTATGCAATGAAGCACACTCAAAGCACTTTACACTATTTTCCATTCACCCATTCGCAGACACAAACATTCACACACACACACACACACACATTAATGGCACTCCCACAGTAAACTTGTAGATTCATGCTCTGTTATGCAGTCCCATAGGCAACACATGTCTATTAAGTACCCTGCAGATGGGAGACTTCAGTCATTATCTGTATTTACTTCTGTCATTTTACAGTAAACCAGACCTAGGAGAGAAATCTAGACAAGGCCTTAATAAGCTGCTGGCTAATGAGGTCCCCATTGAGATGAAGCCAGTCCAGCCACCACACTTTTACAGACTGGCAGCAGTAGAGCCGAGGACGCTGTTCTGGGTACGAGCACGAGGATATATTGGTAAAATACACCTTATCAATTACACTGCCCTGTCCACATACGCACTACATATATTAAATAGCACTTGAAGCCACACAGCATATTCATAGGGTATTCTCACAGAGTAAATAACAAGACGCAAAATTCTGTTGACCCTTTCTTGGTATTAAATGAAACAATATGCTTAGTTTTTATGTGTGTTGGATCACTTATTAAGTGATCAGCATACTCAGTATATAAGCATACAGCTAACTTATAAGCATTGAACAGCAAACAGTTTCAACATGATACTCATATTTAAGAAATTGCAATGTGAAAATAAATTAAATGTTAATATAAATAAAGATGCTATAATATGCTAGTATTATATGTATTACAATACATATATGCATATATCATATATTTTATGAATGATGTGTATAATACATTATAAAGTCAGTTGGATGATGGACTTTGTGTGCTTATGTAGGTGAAGGCAACATGAAGCTGCATTGCTGTGTTGCTGCTTATGTATCAGACTTTGCATTCCTGGGCACAGCTCTGCTGCCTTATCCCAACTACAAAGCCCAGTTCGCAGCCTCCCTGGATCATGCCATGTGGTTCCACAGCACTTTCCGCAGCGATGAGTGGATGCTGTATGAGTGTGAGAGCCCATGGGCAGGTAAGTGCAGTTCATGTCACATCTGTTATTTGTTCTGTCTATATGTATCCCAGCACAACACACATATGTAGTTACACATGGTTTTGATCATTAAATAAATTACATAGAGGCTCACAGTGGACTGTTGTAGAGGTTATCTGGGTTGAAAGTACCACTTTTTACTTTTACTCTGATTGTTTGAGAATGAATGTTTCTTCTCTGATCACATTTAATTTGAGGACACTTACACGTGTTATCTACCCATATCCACAGACGTTTTTGTGAACACGTGTACGACCCCAAAGTAATTGCGCTTTAAATACAAGTCGCACAACTGTACTGTTGTCTCTACATGTTGGGTCAAAAGTATAATGACGGCGAGTTGAGAGTACCACACTTCAAAAAGCACAGAAATTGTGAGGTAAAAGTGTATTTTTGTTATGCAGATGTGTGTAGGGATTGCAATGATCCTCCAGGCTAAACTTCTAATCATATAACCCAGTCTTGGTCAAGCCACACACATTTAATATGATGATCGTGCAGACTAAATGTTTAGGCTAGACTATAGAAGTGACAAAGAGCCAAAGTGCATTTTTAATACACTTTGTAAGTAAAATAATTAAAGTATCTAGCTAGCTAACCTTATCTAGTATTGATGCTGTCTAGCAACAGCAATACTTTATGTGCGTTACGTTACCCAGTAATGCAGTAGTCTAATGCGTTACATATCCAAGCCCATTGCACACACATTGTTATTTTGGATTAAAGCTAGACTGGTTAATCTGCTAGGTCTATATATTATCTTATTGGAGATAAGTTTGTATTGAGGCATATTTTGAACAATAACTAATGCTAAACTGGGTTTGAGGTAGTTTAGAAACTGTGTCACCATTATATAGTTTGTCCACCAGAAACTGGTGACACATTAATTTGCCAGTTCAAAAACGTCCTGCGTAGTATGTATCTTTGTCACAGTTCTTAAAAAATCTAAGGGATCTATATCAAGATTGGTTTGGCATTATGCGTTGGCATGTTAAAAAGTAACTAACAAAAACAAAACAAACAAAAAACTATCTACCAATATGTTTTTTAAATTCATTCCAAAATATCAGTATGTGTCTGAAAAATCAGTTGGTTTGATTGGCCTGTAGTATTGACACATCTGGATTAGATTTACAGTTTGATAATTTTCTAAACAGCCATCACCTTTAGAATGTTAGATATAAGGAAATAAAGTCCTGAAAACCCTGACAAAAAATCCTTTCTTTACATAAATATAGCTAGCAGCCTGACAGAAAAGATTTTAAAAATCGAATTACACTTGGTTACTTTGTGTCTAAGCAATTAGTTTTTACTTTTACACATTTTCATGCTACATGAATTGCTTCACAAAATGACTGTATATCTGTATATTTCTCTGTATTTATTATTTCATGACATTCTACTGTTGTGGCTTATCATCTCTGACCCATGTAGTTTGTTCTTGGCAACAGAAGTTGCCTTCTCTGTGCATCTTCTTTTGCCTAACATGTGGTTTGTGTTTTGTCCTACAGGGGGCAGTAGAGGACTGGTTCAAGGCAGACTGTGGAGAAGAGATGGGGTGTTGGCTGCGTCATGTTCCCAGGAGGGGGTCCTGAGAGTGAAAGCAGTCACAGAGCCCAGCAAACTATAAAGACATTCCTAAGAGTTCCATTCATCCATCCATTTTCTTCCGCTTATCCGGGACCGGGTCGCGGGGGCAGCAGTCTAAGCAAAGATGCCCAGACTTCCCTCTCTCCAGACACTTCCTCCAGCTCCAGCCACCTCAGCTGGCTCCTCTCGATGTGGAGGAGCAGCGGTTCTACTCTGAGCTCCTCCCGGGTGACCGAGCTCCTCACCCTATCTCTAAGGGTGCGCCCGGCCGCCCTGCGGAGAAAGCTCATTTCGGCCGCCTGTATCCGGGATCTTGCCCTTTCGGTCATGACCCAAAGTTCATGACCATAGGTGAGAGTCGGAACGTAGATTGACCAGTAAATCGAGAGCTTCGCCTTACAGCTCAGCTCCTTCTTCACCACGACGGATCGGTACATTGACCGCATTACTGCATAAGCTGCACTGATCCGCCTGTCAATCTCCCGTTCCATCTTTCCCGCACTCGTGAACAAGACCCCAAGATACTTGAACTCCTCCACTTGAGGCAGGAACTCCCCACCTAAGAGTTTTCTGAGTTTATTTATAATTCTAATCATATAGATTTTATTTAGATTTTTAGACATAAAAATGTTAATATAATAGGTTTATGATAAGGAAATGTAATTACAGTCAGTAAAGAATTAAAAAGTTCTGTGGTTGAACATGTATCTCAGATAAAACTGAATGTTACTTTGCATATTCATTCATTCTTGTAGGCCCATGTTAAATTCAGCACTGTCAAGACCAAATTCCACAGCAAATTCTTATGCCACAGTTTTGACATGTCACCTACCATGATGACAAAACAAGAAATACACAGCACAGAATTTTTATGAAGATTTTACAAAAGCAGCACAGAAGAGCAACAATTGCATTTTTAACTACAAATAGTGGATGACCTTCCACAGAGCTTAGTTGTGAAAAGAAGTGGAAATATCCGCCATACTCTACATAGGCTACCACCAAATAGAAACTCATTTGCATGCCTGTCTGGTATATGCAACTACCCGCAGCCCACCTATGGGTTTTCTCAATGGGTAGTAAAGATCTACCAGACAAAGAATGTGAAGCAGGTGAATACAATGCAAAGAGGACAGAAAAGCCTGATCCACCAAAGGAGAGTGAAAAAGGTGAAGTTATTTTGTAGCAAGACAGTCAAGGAAGGGCACATCAGTTTTCCCACCAAGGACAAAAATACATCTGTCCCCTGTGCAGCACTCTGTGTCTGATCATTGCATGGTCCAACTCATCCCAAACTATAGGCAGAAACCTAAAGCTGAACAGATGGACTGAGCAGGCAAAGTCAGAGCTACAGGCCTGCTTTGACTGCACAGACTGGAGTGTATTTGAAACTGCATCTACAGACCTGGATGAACTCACTGTCAATGTGACATCATACATCAGGTTTTGTGAGGATCTGTGTGCTCACCAAGACCTTCTGCACATACAACAACAAGCCCTTGTTCAAGATCAAAGATTTTTTATTGTCAATTCACTATATGTGCAGGACATACAGAAAATCAAAATACCGTTTCTTTCTCACCTAGTATTGAATGCCATACCATTTAGGAAACTAGAACAGAATAAAAGTAGATTAAAAAGAATAAGAAAACGAAGTCAAAGTAATTAGGATAAAGCTAAACGGTACAACCTAATAGGCTATGACTCAAACCATGTACAATCAGTGACAGTAGTGCAAATAAGAATAATAAGATTGTCAGATGCACATGGACAGTAGTGCAAATGACCAACAGCAGCAGATATGATAGTAAAAACAGTAAAGGCAGTCATTGTAGAGGAGGACAACCAGGAAAATGTGCAGCCTGATCCTGTAACACAGAATACAAAATCATATAATTACTGTGGAGCAGGATGGAGATGTACAGATTATTCCAAAAAGGTTTTTACATTGTGAAAACCAGATTTGATACATGCATACTGTATAACTGTATTTAAGACTGAACAAAATGCTAGTCCTGAAACTTTGCACTTTTGTACAGTATGGCTGAATTTGGCTGCTTGTTTTTTCATACACAGTTGTAGATGAAATGACAGTGCAAGTATATCATGCAGGTTAAGAAGAAATATTAGAAAGGCCTAGGTTATAAGTGTGCACTTTCTGTGTAGACGTTTTTTTTTTTTTTTTTTTGGACAGTACACTTTTATTCTGAAGGCTTGGACCCAAAATAAACAACCTTCAGTGAGAGATATGGGAAAGTTGCAAGACACACTCCGGTGCAGTAGGTGGCGGTATGTATCTAAATTAGTATGTGAACAGCAATTAAGAATACAGAGAAACCTTCATTTATCAGTAGGTCTGTGGCCCGGTGCTGGTGGTAACCTGTTTTCAGTTTGTGGAGAAGCCTTTAAATATCTTCGGAGATGCCGCGAGTATATATTGGCAAACTTAGCTATCATATTCGAGAGGAAGACATCCAAAGATTTTTTAGAGGTTATGGTAAATTATTAGAGATCGACCTGAAAAATGGGTAAGTCTCCAGAACAAACGTTAGCGTTAGCTAATGTCATTTTAGATTAGATTAGATTCAACTTTATTGTCATTACCCATGTACAAGTAACGTTAGACTTGAGACGGGCAGTGGTTAGGTTACCAAACTAATCTTTAAAAGGCTAGAGAGATAACGTCCTGTTGATTTCGTTTATTGCGCACACAAACATGTACAGAGTTGTATACTTTAAACAGTCCTTTTTTCAGGTTTTAAATTCTTTATTTAAGGATTAGAAACAATGTACAAATTCAGAAAAGGGGAACAGTTATGTGCACTCAAGGAACAACCCATGTCATTCTAAAATAAAAGAGACTTATACATAAAATTATATAATTCTGTAAGGAGTTGACTATCTTTGGATACTAGTTTTAAAGTTTCTAGATATTTCTTACATTCATTTTTAAAACAACTTAAAGATGGTGTAATGTTCTTCCATTTACATTTGTGTATATGAAATTTACCCATAGTAATAATAATATTTAACATCAATGTCATATTTTTGAAAGGGGTCTCTGTATAAATCAAAATCTGGAACAAGCTAAATGATGGAGTATCATTTTTAGTATCAACATCCACCCAACTAAAAATTTCCTGCCAAGATCGTAGCACTATTGGACAATGGGTACTTTAAACAGTCCGTTGTCATAAAAATTACACTAGCTTTCAAAGCCTTATCTTATTACAGTAAAGTTAGTTAGTTGGGCAGTGTCGACGGCTTGAAAACAAGCAGTTCAGTTTTAAATGCGTGGTTAGCCCTGGTGAGGCACCAGCTGTTAATGTACACCTTGAATTACTCACGTTTTGTGGTAATGTTGTTATAAATGAGGCATATTGCTAACTTTTAGCGTTACGTGTTATAGTCTCCTTACAGTCATTGGAACTTTTCGTTCACACTTATAACGATTATGTTTCCACATTATTGTGTGGGGTATCTATATATTTCTTCCCCAAGTAAAACTGAGGATTACAATATCTGCGATGATGTGACCGAGTTGCTTGCATCCATCGTGGTCACTTCATTTGTGTCATTTTCTTGGGGGTGGGCTGGTTTGTCCAACTGTTACAGTAAGATACAAATAAGACAGAAGTGCTAATGAATGGTATATGCATACAGTATATATAGCCAGAACAACTAGGAATGCAATTTATTACTCTTTGTGTTTTGTACAGGTATGGCTTTGTGGAGTTTGAGGACATGCGAGATGCTGATGATGCGGTATATGAACTGAATGGAAAGGAGATGTGTGGGGAGAGAGTCATCATTGAACATGCCCGTGGACAAAGGAGAGGTGGATCTTCAGGACACAGTAAGTATGAAGCATAATTCTCTTGTAAATGTGGGGTCTAATCGGTCTCTTGTTAACCTGTATAAAATAAAATGATGATATTCACTTTTACTGAAGTTTCAGAAAAGCTGTCAGTACTCATGACATGTGAGCTCGCTGAGAAAGTCATTACTTTACAAAGAATAATGTCCACAGCTATCTAATGGATCTAACAGTGAAATAAAACAATTAAAGCTTTTATACACTGAAAGAGATGTGTGTTAAAGTCCCATGAGTAACAATGATTAAAGAGAAGGAAAGACTTGTAAAGCTACAATGTGTTCATTTTGAAGTCAACATTAACAAAGTGCTTGATGTTTTAATTTGAAAGAGTCCACTGCGGGCTGACTTCGAGTCCAGTGAGGGTAAAGATGACTGCCTGACACGTTTGGCCTGGGCTTTCCCTTTACAATGTGTGTGTGAGACCTTTGCCCTTTGACCATTGGTTGACATAACCGGAAGCCATGATGACAGCATCCTTTTCCAATAGACCAGGGTGATGGTGAGGAATCCTGCTGGTTTTACTGTTGCAAGACACGTTGCAGAGGACCAAGCCAACACATGTTTCAGCCACTGATTTGGCTCCCACTGTTATGTAGTAGCACAAGGAGTTTTGGTAAATGTTGCCTTTGTCTTATTTAAGTTACAGATGGACAGTGCCCAAAAGATGGATGTTTTTATTCCTCACTGAGTGTGCAAAGTATGACAAAATCTCTCGTGGTGCAAGTTGAGTTGTGTCCTGGCTTTTTGACAGTTTGGAATGGACTAATTAAAATCGCTGTGGCTGAAGCGAAGCTACAAGTAAAGAATTTTGGAACAGTTCCTTTTGGGAGCAATAAAAAAAGCAAAAGCAAATTTTTATACAAAATTCATTTTTCTAAGAGGGATTTTTCTTTCTAAAACTGTTGGCATAAACATGACTAGCCTATTTAATACCAAATATTCAACAGTAATGCCACAGAATCATAATACAGACCAGTTTTGTTTCAGTGACACACAACGGTGTCTTGATTTTCTGGTTCCCGGTTAACTTAACAGTCAATTAAGTTTTCTTTAAAGTTCCTTTAAAGTCAGGGTAAAGTAAAATCAGTTTTTTGTTTCTAAACGCATTATCAGTGCTAGAAAATAGTTGCTGAAAACATGAAAAGACTGAGAACTGCTTAGTCCTGGATTCTGGCGTTGGACCCCTTCATCACTTAGGAGTTTAGGATTTTTTTGGATGGGGCAGAAAGCATAGCTCTGCATTGGAGCCATCCTTAAAATGACCCTTCCCCCGACACTGTAATATTATAAATCCTAGAGCACACAGAGCTCTATGCCTGCATTTATTTTAGGGGCACTAGTGATGATGATGACTTACAGCCACAGTTAGATTTTCTAAAATAAATAACATTAATACTGCTTCCTCGGTATTAAACAATGACAAAAGTAGGAACACATGAATGGTGAATGTGTTGGAGCTGGTCTGAACTGACCGTAGTTGGTGAAGGCAGACAGACGTGTGGGAGCTAATGGCCACACTCTGCAGCTGCTGTTGGCACTGGACAGGTCACCACAGTTAGCTCTTTGCTGTTAGCCTAATAAACCCGCAGATAAAACTTACATTTTCACTTCTCTGCAGGTTTATGCTTGTTTAGCAGGTGCTTCCTTAAAATACACCCACTGGCTTTTTTACTTGAAGCTTTTATTGCATGTACGTTGATGAGCATCCACTGCTGTGAGTCTACATGTGTGTCTGTGTGTAGGAGCTGAGCACCACCCACTGTCATTCAGATATCAACACAAAGGAAAAGCAGCTCCATAAACACCAAAGCCATAACATTAATTCTAACCTCACTCAGTGGTAAAATGCTCCAGTAGATCCCTAGTGCATTAGCACCAGTTCTCCTGTTTGATCGTGAGTTGGTTACTACACCTACTGCAGCCTACAGTTTGCTAGCTATGCCGTCTTGTTTAATATATCCATGATGAGAACAGGCAGCACATTTCCGTGATTGGGCATGGTTTCAGTGTCTTTATGCCCTCAGTGTTTCAGAGCAGAGAATACTCCTTATTTTTTCATGATTTTGAAAGCTACAGGGTGGGCAACAGAAAAGTAGCCCACCTCCAATACCGGTGCCACGCTCTTGAATACACGGGCTACGTTTCCGTGGCCCACCCTGAAATTTTATATAATTGGTGATCATTTTATTCTTTCAAATCTGTCTAGGTGGTTAATAACTCATCTTCCTGTGGTGTGACAAACTCACAACACTTATTTATTTCCACTTTACCCTGACTTTAACGCTGTGGTTAGATAAACAGGCTAGGTTGTTGTGCTTCAAAGAAACAACTAAAACACCTACAGTAAGTTAAGAAAACAGTTCTGATCCTTAATTAAGTGGTTTTTAATCCTGTCCACAGGGCATATAGTGCTGCAGATTTTCTGGTTGCTGAATTGACATTGTTCACCCAGTTTAAAGATCCCTAACTGCATAGCTATATGGAACACCAACAGGGCTTTTTTTCTGATCCTTAAGATCTGGTCGAGAAACCCCTGGCATTTTTAATCTCCTTTTATTCCTTCTGAAACTTATAAATGACCCTCTAACAGAACATCACAGCTGTTAGAGGGTCATTTATAGACAAAGTTGTGACAAAATAAAACTATAGGTAAAAACATCCAGTATGTAGTAGTTTTATAAATTATTAATGCCAGCAGAGGTGGAAAAGAAGTACATTTACTCAAGTACTGTACATAAATACAATTTTGAGAAATCTGTACTTGAGTATTTCCATTTTCTGTTGCTTCATACTTTGACTTCACTATATTTCCGAGAAAAATATTATACTTTGTTTTTACTACATTTATTTGATAACTTTAGTTAGTAGTCACTTTTCTGAATGAGATTAATAAAAGAAAGTACAATATAATTGTAAAACTGATTGTTGATGTAAAAGTCACAAGCTACCCAGCAGTATGTGAAGTACTTAAAATTATAACCATAAAGGTATAACATTCGCAGCAGCAGCAGCATTAAATGTGATGTACATAATAATATATTAATAATTATAATCCAATTATATGACATGCATTAATGTAAACTGTGCCATTCTGAGTAATGAGTTTGTTTTTATGCTAGTTTGTTTACTTAAGTAACATCTTGAATACAGGATTCGAAACAGTATTTTTACACTGTGGTATTGCTACTTTTAATTAAGTAAGTTAATCTAAGTACTACTACTACTACTGTAGCCCTGCGATGGATTGGCGACCTGTCCAGGGTGTACCCCCCCCGTGACCCCTTTCAGGGACTAAACGGTAGACAATGAATGAATCTAAGTACTACTTCTACCACTGAATGCCTGCTCGGAGTCCTTACCTTTATAGAATTTGGTGTCCTTTAAACAAAATTTTTTATCTTCTTGTCTTTTTTTGAAGGTGGCGGTAACAGCAGCGGGAATCGCTCTACCAGGGACAAGTATGGGCCACCTGTACGCACCGACCACCGCCTCATTGTGGAGAACCTGTCCAGCAAGTGCAGCTGGCAGGACCTTAAGGTGAGAAATGTCCCGTGATTGATCAGTGTACCAATCTATAACCAATCTGATTCACTTGCTCAAAAGCACTGAAGGCAGGCAAGAAGCGAAGCTGGTTGCATTATACAGTTATATATCTGTTTCTACTCTAGGTTGACAGCCCCAGACTCTCACTGACCACAAAGAATGCCAACCAGATATTTATTTGATATACTTATTAAGGGCCAGGTACATAAATCCATCTTAATTTGGTTCAGCAAAATAGAGATCCTACAGTGTTTATCTGAAGTGGATATAAACACAGAAATTAAAGCTCACTGTTAGGGCCTCATAGTCATTATTTAGATTCAAAGCCAATGCTTAAGCCCCCTTTACACTTCTTATTCAGTGTGGGAGTTTTCCGCCAGTTTTCTGCCTCACCCTTCTGTATAGAAGATACAGTCCTGGCATGGGGGCAGAGTCAGAGCCGGGGGCTTTTTGCAGGGGGATGAGGACTTATACTGGGCCATTATCAGTAGAATAAAAATGTGCTGGTGCTCCCCTTATTCCCTTTGCCACAGCGAGAGGTAGTATTTTTGCCAAGATTAGGTCGCCTGACCTCTTGAATAAACAGGATGAAGCAGAATCCCTCATTAAAGAATAACCACTCATTACCCTACTAAGTAGAATATTATATGCAATTCCACTATGTGCAATGCCATGTGCAATATTTGAAACTCCCATTTTACCTGTTGTCTTATTCTTGTATCCACAGTTTTATCAGCCATTTTGTATTCTTGGGTAATTTTATATTTAGACTAAGTGTTCATTCTTTTGGCTTTAAACTCTTTACTTGACTCCAGCAGAGCCCTGCACAAGAATTCCTATATGCCTAGACTGTCTCCATCCATCCATCTTCGTTTGCTTTATCCGAGACTGGGTCGCAGGGGCGGTAGTCCGAGCAGAGCCCCCCAGACTTCCCTCTCCCCACACACGCCTCACCTGGCTCCACTCAACATGGAGGAGCAGCGGCTTTACTTTGAACTCCTCATGGGTGACTGAGCTCCGCGCCCTTTCCCTAAGGGTGCACCCAGCCACTCTCCGAAGGAAATTCATTTCTGCCACTTGTATCTGCGATCTCATTCTTTCAGTCAAGATCCAAAGTTCATGGCCATAAATGAGGGTAGGAACGTAGATCGATTGGTAAATTGAGAGCTTCGCCTTATGACACAGCTCCTTCTTCACCACAACAGACCGGTACAGAGACCGCATTACTGCGGATGCTGCACCAATCCATTTGTCAACCTGCTGCTCCATTTTTCCTTCACTCGTGAACAAGACCCCGAGATACTTAAACTCCTCCACTTGAGGGAGCAACCCACCCCCAACTCGAAGTGGGCAATCCACCTTTTTCCGATTCAGAACCATGGCCTCGGGTTTGGAGGTGCTAATTCTCATTGCCGCCGTTTCACACTCGGCTGCAAACCCCTCCAGTGCACGCTGTAGGTCTTGACCTGATGAAACC